ACTTCAAGTCCTGTGCAAAAATGCATGATCGCACGGGCCCGCCCGGTGCGTTCCAGCCTGGGTTTGAAAATGACTCAGCTGTCCAATGAATGATTTTCCTGTCAAAAATTTAAGTGTCCGCACACGAGAACTACATGTGCATGGAGGCTGAATTTAAGACCTTTAAGTTGTATTTAGACAAGGAATATTCTCTTAAAATCTCAGCTTTCCATCTCCTCTGGTTCCCGAGTTTGCTATTTTCCAGCCAAAACTTTTACAGGGCTGCATGTAACCTGGGAGCATCCTGGGGCTGGGTTTGGAATGTTTAAGCTGTATGTAGACTGGGAAAACCCCTTTAAAATTTCAGCCTCCCAGCTTTTCAGGTTCCCAAGTTAGCCATTTTAACGCCAAAGAAGTTTCGCGAGAGCGTACGTGAGAACCGCGGACGCCTGGGGGATGAATTTGATTACTTTAAGTCATACCTGGGCGGAAAGCATCCCCTGAAAATTTCAACCTCCAAGCTTTGCCAGTTCCCGAGTTAGCCGTCTTCCCGCCAAAAAATTTCGCGGAGGCATACGCGAGAACCACTTGCGACTGGGGGATGAATTTGACAAGTTAGTATTGCACCTATGCTGGGAACATTCTTTGAAAATTTCAGCCTCCCAGCTTTGTTATTTCCCGAGTTGGCCATTTTCCCGCCAAAAAATTTCATGGAGCTGTACACGGGAACCAGACATACCTGGGAGCTGAATTTGAAAACTCTGAGTTACATTTGAACAGGGAACATAACCTCAAAATTCCAGCTTTTTATCTTTTCTCGTCCCCGAGTTGTCAGTTTTCCCGCCAAAAGTTTTATCCCATCATACGCGGGGCCCAGACTTGCGTGAGCTTTGGTACCGCGGTTCTGGGGTGGCACTTAGCCGGAGGATCTACTAGCAAAATCTTGGCGCTAGAACTTGCTTGGTTGCCGAGTTGAAATACCCGGACAGATGAAGGCACACACACACACATACGCACAAACATACACACACATCGCAATATGCGTTTTTGCAATTTGCAAATAGGCAAAAACGCATAAGAACGAGTGGGCTTCATGCAAGAAACCGACAATCATGTACTGGAGGTCCACGCAGCCATATAATGCAACACCTTCATCTCAACCGACATCTTTTCTCCTGCTTGCCGAAGAGGCCAAAACACGGCCAATATGAGCCCACTTGTTGTTAGGCTATAGCGCAGAGATCTTCCTGCTATTAACGATCTGCGAGTTTAGTGCAAAAAAACATGATCGCACCGGCAAGTCTGGGTTTCCTCTCGGCAACACTTGATTTCGGTTGTAGAGATGAGTAACTTACGTGTATAAGTTTGGTCAGTTTACGTAGCTCGTTGACTTGCTCGTTGGCAATTGCCTCAAATTTGTTGAATGCATCCATAGGAGAAGTCACCTGCGTGATTATCGCATCCAAATAGTCATATAGGTACTAAAATGGTGACATCTCAAGGTGATGGTTCGTGCACGTGTTGTATGTGTGTATATGTTTATTATGTAAGAGTGACGATTTC